AAATGTGTTCTGGGTTGTCACGCTTCAATAAGCATTCCTGGATAGCAGTGATTCATAAAACATAATTGCACACTGTCTCACTGCGTATTAGTTCATATGAGTGAATTAAACTATACTTTAAAACAATTGCTGTTTGAATAGTAAACAATACAGCAATAATGTACAGTACACCCTTCAAGGTGAGGTACAGACTAATGGAGAAACCTACATAAAAAAATAATGTCCCAAACTTGTCTCTTCATTGCAGTGTGATATATTTTCTAGATTGACAATGAGGCATTTACAGTCAATCTTAAAGCGGCAATCAGCAGTTGACACAATAACAAAGCGTTCTGCCCACTATTGTTTCGGTATAACATGGGGGGATGGGGCTGGAGAACTGTAACCACTCAAATTCAAAGACAGTGCTATGGATGCAAGGACTGACCATCCATGATATCAAAATTATAGTTTAAACTGTGTTTATTATGCTATTCAATGTTTGTCTACATTTACTTTGTTTACAAACATTTGAGTAAAACAAGCTTATTTGGGGTTCTGATATGGTACCACAATTGAACTAAGCTCATGAGGAATTTCTAAGTAATATTCTTCAAGAATCAATGGGTGCATATAATTAATGAATTAAGTCCAAAAATGGATATAGCAACAGCTGATTGGCCCTTTAAGAAATGACTCTCTTATTTGCCAAGTTCCCTTATTTCACTATAGAAATAGGGGAACTTCAAAGTTTAGTCAACATCTTCATTGTCTCTTACTCATAGACCAAGTTGACAACACTGCTGTTCTCACCCTGGCCTGGTAAGACACATTTTTATTGTTTCTGACCTACTGATCTTTTGTATCTCATGGTTGCTATCCAGGGGCTATTCAAACAAGCCTGGAAACTGGAAAATGTTATTAGGATAGGCATTGCATTCATTTATTTTTCATGAATTCATTTTTATTGATTTAAATTTAATAAATCCTTTATTTAGCCCATATGTTATTGAGATTATTTTACAATGATGACCTGGGTTTGGTTAGTTTGGTAGTTATCATGAATATGGCATGATTCATTGAATGCCTTAAATATCAGTTGTTTGTTTGTTGTGGCGTAACTGTGCAGGGGAAGCACGTTCTGATGTTGGCCCACCTGTCTACCTGTCTCTCCAGGTCACCTGTGGAACCCGAGGATGTATATCTGCAGTGTGATTTACTCGATGACGCAATTTACAGCAACGACCCACCCTGTAGCCTGGCCATACTGCCTGCTGACATTGAGGAGGACGACCTTTATATAATGCCAGATGCTTTATAGGTACAGCCACAAACATGACCCTATCAAGTCCAGACTGAGTCATCTTTTTATAGGACAGGAAGGGGAATAAAAAGAAAATATGCAATATGCTTTCCTTTTATGTTTTAGCCACCTTTGAAGTAAAATTTGGCCACATGACAAAAACAGCAAATTTGTCTTCATTAGAATTTTTTTGCAGTAAAAATGATGGTTTTCCTGTGTTTTACATCATAAGATACCTAATTGTTACCCAGAAATGATTTGATATTGATATAAAAAGAGCTGCATTCGGCCTTTAACAGACTGTAAAGTATGTTATTCTGTTATTGTACATTCTAAATCTTTTAAGAGGCGCCTGCTAGTTTAAGAACAACACCTTTTTTGGGCAAAATGAATCATAAGTAGCAGTGTAGCCCTAAATATATATATAAACTCAGCAAAAATAATAATATTAATAATAATAATAATATGCCATTTAGCAGACGCTTTTATCCAAAGCGACTTACCGTCATGTGTGCATACATTTTTACGTATGGGTGGTCCCGGTGATCGAACCCACTACCATGGCGTTACAAGCGGCATGCTCTACCAAGCGGCATGCTTCCTTTTTCAAGAACCTTTCAAAGATAATTAGTAAAAATCCAAATAACTTCACAGATCTTCATTGTTTCCCATGCGTGTTCAATGAACCATAAACAATTAATGAACATGTAAATGTGGAACGGTTCTTAAGACACTAACAGCTTACAGACGGTAGGCAATTAAGGTCACAGTTATGAAAAAACTTAGGACACTAAAGAGGACTTTCTACTGAAAAACACCAAAAGAAAGATTCCCGGGGTCCCTGCTCATCAGCGTGAATGTGCCTTAGGCATGCTGCAATTAGGCATGAGGACTGCAGATGTTGCCAGGGCAATGAATTGCAATGTCCGTACTGTGAGACGCCTAAGACAGCGCTACAGGGAGACAGGACGGACAGCTGATCGTCCTCACAGTGGCAGATCACATGTAACAACACCTGCACAGGATTGGTACATCTGAACATCACACCTGCGGGACAGGTACAGGATGGCAACAACAACTGCCCGAGTTAAACCAGGAACGCACAATCCCTCCATCAGTGCTCAGACTGTCTGCAATAGGCTGAGAGAGGCTGGACTGAGGGCTTGTAGGCCTGTTGTAAGGCAGGTCCTTACCAGACATCACCGGCAACAACGCCCAGTGGGCACAAACCCACCGTCGCTGGACCAGACAGGACTGGCAAAAAGTGCTCTTCACTGACGAGTCGCGGTTTTGTCTCACCAGGGGTGATGGTCTGAATCACGTTTATCGTCGAAGGAATGAGCATTACACCGAGGCCTGTACTCCGGAGCGGGATCGATTTGAAGGTGGAGGGTCCATCATGGTCTGGGGTGGTGTGTCACAGCATCATCGGACTGAGCTGGTTGTCATTGCAGGCAATCTCAACGCTGTGCGTTACAGGGAAGACATCCTCCTCCCTCATGTGGTACCTGTCCTGCAGGCTCCTCCTGACATGACCCTCCAGCATGACAATGCCACCAGCCATACTGCTCGTTCTGTGTGTGATTTCCTGCAAGAGAGGAATGTCAGTGTTCTGCCATGGCTGGGACCTGTTGGATCGGAGGGTGAGGGCTAGGGCCATATGATATCTGTTCATGGTGCTGAGTTTACAATGCATGTCATCATGTGTGCTGTGGGCTATTCTTACTGTCATGCAAAATTAAATACTACTCATTTGTCCCGTAGGTCATTCACTCTTTGGTCAAGGCCGCACTCTTAGAATGAAGGGTTCCAAAAGGGTTCTTTGGCTGTACCCATAGAACCCTCTGTGGAAAAGGTCCTACATGGAACCTAAAAGGGTTATTCAATTGGTTCTCCTATACTCCCAGTCAGTATTAGATAGAATGTCGCAGCATCGCCCCGCCTGTGGGGAAAACAGCCTGTGGTTACCTAGGTTACCCTATTGGCTCACAGCAAAAACTTGACCTTTTTCAAACACCATTTTCTTGTTGTCTGCTTGTTTTAGTCAATTGATAAAACAACATTTGAGAAATGTACAACATGTCTAAAGGTTACTTTTCAACATTGCCTGCTCCCGAGCGTTCTCACTACTTATAAAAATGTGCTGTTGTAGGGCTTCCCTCATGCCCCTTTTCATGACGGCGCTAGCAGCCACGTGAGTGAGTGCTAGCTAGCTACCAACCGGAACATTAAGCTAGCCAAGCCCAACAACACAAACAAACAGACTACACAGCTACAAGTAGTGAGTGGTGTTACGAACGAGCTATACTAAACAAGATACCTTACCTGTGATTAAACGTTTTCCACACACATAGTTAGCTACGTGTAGCCGACTTGGACACCAGCTGCCCACAATTTCCTACTCTTCCACATCGAATAGCCTGAAGCCACAGGGCTCTTCTCGCAGGCTCTATTTCCCAACGTGGGAGCATTGTGAACCATAGGTTGGGATTTTTTACCTGGTTACATGTACATTGAACAACACAGCAGCTTTTCAGCATGTTTTGTTATTTCTGTATAACAAAAAATCAACGACAAAGTTGGCTCTTTTACACTGGGGGTTAATGGGAAAGAATGTTTGTTTTCCCCAATTTGTGGGTGTGGTCGAGGGGAATTCCTTGTTATTCCGTGAATATCAACTAGAAGTATGGGGACAGCCGAAGAACCCTTTTAGGTTCTAAGTAGCACCTTTTTTTCTAAGAGTGCACAGCTGCAAGATATTGGCTATCATGTATTTCACGGCACACCCTAACCTTGAAATATTATCTGACTAGAGAGTTTTCCGTAAAGCACAATAACACATATCTTGTCAGAATTGTAGTCCCGTGTAGCTCAGATGGTAGAGCATGGCGTTTGCAACGCCAGGGTTGTGGGTTCGATTCCCACGGGGGGCCAGTATGAAAAAAAACAAAAAAATGTATGCACTCACTTACTGTAAGTCGCTCTGGATAAGAGCGTCTGCTAAAATGTAAATGTAATTTCAAGTTCTGTTACACATCATTTGTATGTAAAAAATATTTATTGTAACGTTTGTGTACATATGCATTCAGGCACAACAACCCAACATAAACAGTAGTAATATCCATACTACCATTATTGAAATGTTAAAAAATAGTATATTTTCTCTGGACAAACTTCCAAAATGTTTGGAAATAATACTGTACATAGCATTAAATTCAATTGAATATGTATTTAAAGTACAGGGATGTAAGAAACATACTAAATATTGTAACATTGAAAACTATAAACAAAACAAATACGTTTCAGACCCTGTTAAATAAATTACAATAAATAATATAATTTTGTACATAGTCTTGGAAGAATATGACATTACGGGCCACATGAGACTAACGTACGTTTTTTTTCTTCCAAATAAAATAGTAAATATCAGAATCATCACTCCACAGTAACTTGTATTGTTTACAATGAACCTATATTTACTCTCAGAATCCATGGATGATGGATGATGTTGGGTATTTTTGTTTGTTTAACCATTGAAAAGGATGCTAGGAATGTCACTAATTGAGCATGACAAATGTTATTTTCTTATGTCCTTTGAAAACATTATCCCTTCTATTTCAGAATGTAGCACTAGCACATTGTATCTAACGGCTCGCCAAAGGGAAAAAGTTTGTTCCAACTCTTTTTTTGTCCTTGCCTGGTCTTGCCCCCGAAGGACTCAAGCACAGTGGCATTTGCTGACAATCAAGTCATTGAAGGGTGTGAGCTTCAATTTCCCCCGACTGTCGTAGTGCATGAGGACCATAGGTTCGTAGGCTGCCGGCACACAACAGGGCCGAGGTGTTGCTCCCTTGTTGATTTGATGAAGACGCGATTTCACCTGCGTGTGCATGCTGGCTGGCTTGTAGTTGTGAGGACAGGAGCCGTCACAGAAGTGCATGTTGTAACCAGCAGGGGCAACGACCCAGTCTGACCAGCCAATCTCCTTGAAGGACACGTTGACAGACTTTCGGCAGCAGCGACCATCTTCGTCGCAGTTGTCTTCTTTGTTGGAGCGAGTCCGTCTCCTTCTGCCTGCTGATCTAGGCTCTACAAGGTCTACCTCCAGGACCATCTGCGGGGTCCTCTTGGGATCAGTTCCCTCTTCTATGACCAGTCCTACTTCCACAACTAGAGAGTGGCCTTCCGACCTCCCTCTCCACTTATCAACAATAGTTCTGATGTCCAAAGTCAAATCTCCAGTTCTTGTAGCAACCATCTGAACAAGGGTCTCTGTGTGAATCAATAGAGAAGAGTTCAGCGGTTTCGTCTCATAGATCTTAACATGAACCTCTTCCCTAATCGTGGGCTCAGCAGCTTTAGAGCCATCCAACAGTTGTCTGTAGAGCTTCAGCTCAGCCCGGGCCAAAGTGAGATCCTTCCTGATGTTTGGGTTCTTGTGGAAGACAGCTCTGTACCAAAGCATATCTGATGTGTGTTCCTCATCACTCCGAAGCACTTTGAAAGGCTCCACTGAAAGAGATGAAAAGAGGATTGTTAGACAAATGCTCAGGTTCTTGGAATTACTGCCATGACTTCAATAGGCTGTGCTTTTAAGAGTTGTAATGGATGTGTCTTTACCTCCTCAAAAAATTACAAAATTACATCAAATTATTTATAAATTAGAGTAGTTCATTATTACTTTGGAGAAGAGGTATTTCATATCTGCTCTCGGAATTACTATCAAGCCTTTGCTAAGTCCAAATGCCAATGTTAATGGTAGGCTTTTGTTGGAGTGCACACAAAAACGAAGCACTAAGACTAAATTGCATGGCTCACTCATTTTCACGACATATGGTTTGAGAAAACACTCACAGATACATTAAGATTTATTTTTTTATTTTTTTATGTGTTTGAAGGCTATTTGTTTGTTTTGTCATAAAATCTTGTTGAAGAAACAACCATGGGAGAATGTTTCGGGACACAGGTACACACCTTTTACTAAGCCCAAACCTTTGGCTTTGGCATCTAACTCAGACCTTTTCAATAGGTTATAAAAACACCTTGCATAAAGGCAAAATTCCATGAAGTCAGATCACCATCTAAAGCTAGAATGTCAACAGTCAGGTCCTTGTGGCTAAAACCAGAACAGTAGCTATGTGTCTTTAAATAAGACAGCTGAGGTCTCACCTGTGGCTGGGAGAAGCAGGGTATATGTCCTCTTTGGGGAATGCCAGGATTCCCCTTCCTGACTGGAGTTCCCTCTCAGCAGCGTCAGTGTTTCCCTGTAGAGCCGATGCATCCTCCTCAGCTCCTCCTCTGAAGCCAATTCCCTGGGCCTGGGCTCCTTCTCCATCCCCATGGAGCTCAAGATGCCTGTCTTCACTGCCTCCAGGAGCAGGGCCCTCTGGCTCTCCTCCTGCCCCAGGCGGGGTGTACTGTCTTGGGCCAGGCGGGGCCGGCCTTCCCCCTGATGGAGGCTGGAGAGGAGGGCCACCCAAGAGAAGAGAAAACGCAGTGCGACTGAGCTAGACATGGTAGGTTTGTTCTAAGAGGTGCACCCTGTATGGGGTTGTCAATGGTATGAATGAAATTCCAGACATGCTTTCATTTATACAGCTCCTGCATGGCCACACCTCTATGTCACACCTCTATGTCAGGTGAGCACTCCTCATTTTGTAGAGGATTATGTAGCACTCATTATGTAGAGGATTATGTTGCACTCATTTTGTAGAGGATTATGTTGCACTCATTATGTAGAGGATTATGTAGCACTCATTTTGTAGAGGATTATGTAGCACTCATTTTGTAGAGGATTATGTAGCACTCATTTTGTAGAGGATTATGTAGCACTCATTTTGTAGAGGATTATGTAGCACTCATTTTGTAGAGGATTATGTAGCACTCATTTTATAGAAGATTATGTAGCACTCATTATGTAGAGGATTATGTAGCACTAATTTTGTAGAGGATTATGTAGCATCCATTGTATATCATGTTCCACAAGGTGGGAAAGCACGCTTTGTATAGTACTCTTTAGAATAAATTAATATAATTAATGTCCAAAAACATTTGAACCCTTCATGTATTGACTGATTTCAATGGATTGTTTCCATACAAAATACTGTATATAACCATATATGATACCGCTCTTATTAGTGGTATCAATATGTGTTGTAAATACAGATTACATCAGAAATGTAAGTAATAAGCTATGATTGTATGAGCTATGACTAACCCTAAACTATGAATTTCACCAAAGCAGAGCCACCGGAAAATGTGTGGTGAGACAGCATTTGCCTCAGTACTTTTCAAACTGCCATAACACTTTCAAAGCAGCAGCACGGACTGGGCCAGCTACTTCCAGGTCCAACATTTAGCTGCTCTGTCGCAGTCTACCATGGAACACTACACGCAGAAAAGTCGTGCTATTTGTATTTGAGCAATATGATTGGCCTTTCGTTCATTCAAGCACCACTACACTCTAGCGAGTCACAACTTCTCGAGTACTCGAGTAGTACAGAAGTTGATTGCTACATTCACATGCAAGCTGTCCTGAGCAAAATGAAGCGCCCATCAATCTAGTCGCTGAGCTTATTTATTTTAGGGAAGGTGATTTACAAAAGTAAACCTTCAATAGTGAACACACTAGCAATAGACTGGTTACCGTTGATAGTCTGCTAAATGAAAGCTACAAAAATACACTGTAGCATTTGTCTTGGCAAGCCTACTGTAGTCAGGTTGATTAAGCAATAAGGTCCGAGGGGGTGTGGTATATGGCCAATATACCATGGCTAAGGGCTGTTCTTATGCACGACGCAACGTGGAGTGCTTGAATACAGCCATTAGCCGTGGCATATTGGCCATATACCACAAACCCCCGAGGTGCCTTATTGCTATTATAAACTGGTTACCAACGTAATTAGAGCAGTAAAAATAAACGTTTTCTCATACCAATCAGCATTCAGGGCTCGAACGACCCAGTTTATAATATCTCTTTTAGAATGCATTTGTCTTAAAAGGGCAGCGTCCTAATCTTCTCAAAATGACAAAAATGAATCCAATTAATACAATGCCATTCTAAAGAATAGAGCAATGACTTACATTGCTAAATTAAACAGCTTTTTAATACATATCATCATAACCAAATATAGCCTATGAATAGGCTGCATATAGAGAGAAAACATGCAAACCTATACGACCTGCATGACCCCAATGCATTTAAAAACTACACCATGTCTGGGCCAGTAGAACTTCTGTTCTGGCCAGTAGATTTTTGGCCAACTGGCCCGCTTGGGCCAGTGAGAAAAGTTAAAGTTGGAACCTGTTATAGCCTACGAATAGGACCCAGAGTTTTAACTGACCAGGTCAAGAGATCAGGAAAAACTCCAGGCCCCAGAAAAGACACATACGAATTTTGCAACCTCTGCACCAAAGGCATTGTAATGATTCAGAATATAGAATTAGCCTACTCACGCATCATTTGATCAAGTAAATGACGTACACAACTACTGTATATCATGTCATCATTAATTATAGTGGATCCCTATCATGTCATCTTCTAATTGACTCTTTCCCCATGTCATCATGACCACTCTGTTTGCCTTATCAGAAAAATGTGTCACAGCAATTCACCACATATTACAGATACTGTAGTGTTTGTTGCGGAAGACACTTGTACTGTACATATACAGTAGATTCTTTTCATTTATGGTGGGTGGATCTCTTTTCTCCAGACAATGTGGAAGTCAATCAGACTTCTTTAACCAGTATCAGCGCAGGATCAGTACATGGTGTGTTTATGGTGGCGTCCCCACCCTATGACATATCTCCAAGTGTGACTGACATTATTCTTTCCACTGTGGCAGCTTTTCTCTTTTTTGGTTCATAAAGCAGTCACAGTGGCCTTCAAACAGACACATAATGTATGCTTAGATGTTTTAATTTTTTTGGGAACGCAGTTGAGTTAGAAGAGTAGAATACACAAGGTGCAATTTCAAAATGTGGTTGTGCATCAGCAGATTTCCTCTTGTTATGTCAGTCACTGATAGTCAGTCAATTAGCCCATGTCTGCTAAAAATGTTTAGATTGGTAATTTAGTCTAGCCAGTTATCTAAACTTGTAGTAATCAAGGCCAAATTACAGAGGGGGCCCTAACCTCCAGGGGGCCCATATTGATTTTGTTAGTCACTCTTACTCAGATATGATATTAACATGGCCTATGTCAAGGCAAATCATGTAGAATTTCAGGAAATTAGCTTTAAAACTGCAAAACTTTCTCTCCACCCCATGGCAAAATGCATAGAATTGCAGAAAATGTGCTTTCAAAAATCAACATTTTCTCTACGCCCCATGGCAAAATGTGTAGAATTAACCTTACAACGTAAAATGTTTCTCTCCGGCATCAAGAGGAGGGCCTCTAAAATGTTTTACCTGCGAGGTGGGGGGCCCCCAACCAAATCTCACTTAGGGCCCCCGAAAGGATAGGGCCGGCCCTGAAGGGAGGGTGCTATGTGTACTGTAAGTTAAACCTCCTGCAATCATGGAAACTCACTTGGGGGCAGTTCTTAAGATCTTACTCTGTTAGAACGAACTGTTTACAGTAATACCATACACTCGTGCCAGTTCTTAGGATCTTACTCTGTTACAACTTACAACTGTTTAATTACAATACCATACACTCTCTGGCCAGTTCTTAGGGTCTTACTATGTTACAACTTACTGTTTACAGTAATACCATACACTCTATTATTAGTCTGTTATTACAGTTTTCAAAAAATTGTCAAAAGTTATTTTATATCTGTCCATATCAGGAAAGGTGGTTAGAACGGTTTTGAAGAGGATAACCTGGATAATTTACTTGAAGGATATGGTTGTGGAATAATGATTATCATAATACAATGTTTTTTCTTGTATAAGCAGAGAATGGCCTATACGAAAAATTCAATGTCATAAAATCGTATATGACTAGGCCTAGTTTATTGAAGTGAGAGTCATTAAAATTAACCACATTTCTGACCATATTGCTTAATTGGACTGTGTAAATTTCCAATCTATGAGTCACTGACATGATTAAACAATCATGGGCAATGTGAATTCCACCTTGGGGCTAAAAGTGTGTGAAAGGTGACCAAGTATGAATCATCGGCAGACCGACAGTGACATTCACTTTCTCATGTCAGGGTGAGCAAACAGAACAGGATATTGAGTAATCAGCCTTAGGCCCACTGTCAGCATTACAAAGGGAAGGTGCTATTTTTGTTACTGGAAGGCAAACTGCAATAATTGAATCACCTGCGATCTAGTGATAGAGCGTTGCCACTCCCAATTACGAGCACATTCTGGATTCCACTAGGGCAATGGGTCATTTAAACTGACAGTACTGTAAAGCCTATATGGGTGACCACTCATTCTTCACTTCATTGGGCTTGCTTGGTAAATGTATTTAGAAGGTGTATTCTGGAGTAGCTTGAATTGTTTTATGTATCAATGTTTTATTACAATCATTTTATAATAATTGTTTGTATAACAATCCTTTAATACAACGTAGCAATGTCAGTGGAGGTATGAGAAGCAAGGATGTCACTTTGGGTCAATTCTATTAATTGAGATTAAATGAATGCCATAGCTTTCAATTACGTTTCAATTGAGTTTCAATTAATTAATAATTGCATTTTGTGAATAACCACAACCTGAATAGAATAATTTGCACAATGAGCACTTGTTGTCTCTCAAATAGATCGTTACAGTTGTTGGTTTAGCTAGCTAGCAATTCTTTTTGCCATATTAGCATTGACATGAATTCAGTCAAAACACCTCAAAACAAGATATGGTATCAAGAACAAAATGAAACTAGCTGAAACGAGCCACACGATTCCCCACATGGCAGTTTCTTGTCATTCTTGCTAGCAATCTGGCCATCCAGAATCACAACAACACACAGACTTCTGCCACATAGAAGTATGCACATTGTTTTCGTGACGTTGTCAGGTACAGTGCCTTGCAAAAGTATTCATCCCCCTTGGCATTTTTCCTATTTTGTTGCATTACAACCTGTAATTTAAATGGATTTTTATTTTTATTTCATGTAATGGACATACACAAAATAGTCCAAATTGGTGAAGTGAAATGAAAAATCTAACTTGTTTCAAAAAATTCCAAAAAATAAATAACAGAAAAGTGGTGCGTGCATATGTATTCACCCTCTTTGCTATGAAGCCACTAAATAAGATCTGGTGCAACCAATTACCTTCAGAAGTCACATAATTAGTTAAATAAAGTCCCCCTGTGTGCAATCTAAGTGTCACATGATCTGTTACATGATCTCAGTATATATATACACCTGTTCTGAAAGGCCCCAGAGTCTGCAACACCACTAAGCAAGGCGCACCACCAAGCAAGCGGCACCATGAAGACCAAGGAGCTCTCCAAACAGGTCAGGGACAAAGTTGTGAAGAATTACAAATCAGGGTTGGATTATAAAAAATATCAGAAATGTTGAACATCCCACAGAGCACCATTAATCCATTATAAGAA